ACCCTTTCTCCTAACTCCTATCAACTCCTTCAAGTTGTCAGTTGATGATATTTATCTGCTGTTCTGTAACCATAATAGTCTTCCATGTTTTGTATGTGGATTGAGTCTAAGCATGGAAAATCAATATACAATATTTATGTTATTTTTGCCATGTAAATATTTTTCCCTACAGGTTCAGTGATCACACTTGCTTTCCTATGGTGCTTTTGTTTTTTTCTGGAGTTTCTAATTGCCTTTATTTTTTTCTCTCATTATTTACGTTCGTTTTCTCATTTTTTGTTCAAGCTTTCCATCAGGTCAGGTGTTTATATAGATTCTTTATAAGGAATCAAAATCAGTCCCTCTAATGTCTCCATCCGTGGGTCTCTGCTTGACTCCCCCAGGATGAGACCGCTTCCTTTTCTGCCAGGTAGTCCTGCAGATGCTGCTAACTGCTTTGAATATTTGAGCTGTATGGTATGCGCTCCCCGTCTGTCATGGTATCGGTTTCCCCATATGGTAGACTTGTAAAGCTGTGGAGGAGAGTAAAGCCAGCCTTGTTTCAGGTTTCCTGCCATTGTTCTCAGCAGCGATTGTTGGTGATAGAGACCTAGGACTGGTTGGACTGGGGGCTCAGTGTGTGGAGTCAGGAATGCGGGTCGGGCTTGAGGTTGCTCATCCCCAGGACAGGGCTGGAGGAGAGGATGCCTTCATACCCCATGACCTGCCTCCCGTAGTCAGGGTCTCAACAGAAGAAAACCAGTCCTATGCTGATAAATCTGGATTCCCAAGCTGGATGTCTGGCCTGTGCCTGCCTTTTTTTCCTGCCTTGCTCAGCTAGGCTGGACTAATGACAGGGATCCCTGTGACTGAGATGCCTTCCAAGGTAAAGAAGGAAACAGTTACTGAGCCCGTAACAGGTGCCCAGGGTCCACAGCTTCCAGGGACCCACATCCAAGTGCTTCTTCCAGTTTTCAAAAGCTCTTAATACCTTATGCCAAACATCCCACTCTTTGCCCAGTTCGGAGGTTTCCAGAGGAAAAGGAGCAAAACACTGAGGGGTCTTACCCATCTCCATCCATGTTCTTTGGGCCTGGATGTTAGCATTGTCTGCTTTTTGAGGACTTGCCCTGATGGTCACTAACAGGAAGGGCAGGGTGGGGTCTCCGTGCTGGTCCTCATCTCAGGCCCCTGAGAAGTCCTCACAGTTGATTTCTGAGTATCTGCCCAGTCCAAAGACCCAGCCAATCCCTCCCTTTCTTCTTCTCCCTCCAGTAAGCCAGGCGTCTCACCTCGATGCAGTGCCTTTCTGCACTTCCAGCCCCAGCCTTTGATCCTGCTTTCCTCCTAGGTAAATTCACCCATCCATGCTTCAAGCCTCCCTTCCTTCAGGTAGTCTTTGTCTACTGTTCCAGGCCCCACCGAGCCCTTTCTACCGTATACCATATGGTTTATTGTAACAACCAGAGCAGAATAGTGAGCTGTTCAGAGCACAGGCCTTGAATTCAGATAGAGCTGGGCTTGAATTCTGTGCTATTCAGGACTCCTGGGTTGCAAGTGACAGAAATCCAGTGTGAACTGCAACACCCTTAGCAAAAAGGAATGTATTGGCTCATGTGACCAGCCACTGGCTGTGGGGATGCCTGGAGCTGGGGACCTGAACACTGTTAGGGCTGTTTCTCCCCTTTCCCTGATTCTTTCCACAGGGCTGCTTGATTCTCACCTGACTGACCCTTGAGACTGGAGCACTGGCTGCCGGCAGCCCTGGGCTTAAATCCCTAAAGCCCCAGTATCAGAGAGCAACTAGCTCCAGTTAGAAAAGTCCCACGGTGCCAGCCTGGATCACAGACCCTCTCTGTGGCCAAGGAAACCTCGTCTCTTACCAGGAGAAGCAGGGAGTGGGAAATAGGTCAACAAAAGGACTAGTCACTGCAGCTCCTTACTAGATGGGCGACCGTGGCTAAATCCCTCACCTGCTCTAAGCCTCACAATCCTCATCTGTAAAATGGGGTAACAGTTCCTGCCTCCTGTGGTTGCCACGAGGATTAGATGAGATGGTGCAGGTAAAACTCCTAGCGCAGCAAACAGTTGGCATTCAGTAAGTGTGGGGACACTGAGTAGAGATGACAGTAAGACATAGTTGATTTAGGGAAGGCCCACTCCACCTGTCTTACCTGCTACCACAGCATGATAAAATCCCTGAGAGCTTGTCTCCCTGGTCTTCGGGTTTGGCTACCAGCCCAGGGCAGACCGTTCTTGGGATTGACTGAAAAAGATCCTGGAATGAAACAGAAGGAAAGCCAACAGCTGCATTGACAGAGGAAAGCCTCTAAATCAGCCAAAATTACTGATCTTAAGCCAGGTACTGAGCTGAGAACTCTGGGGAATACAGGGACATGTCACACCTCTCCTGTTCTTGGCACATAGGTTTCACCATATCGAAAATGTGGTGAAAAACAGGTGAAATTATACGCTGCAAATTAGTAAGTAAGCACAAGTCAGCCTGTGTGTACCTTGCTTATTGGGTGATCTGTCCCTGGATGGAAGTTAAAAGTACAAGCTCTGGAGCCTAATCATTTAGGTGCAAATCCTTAGCTGTGTGACCTCGGGCAAATTACTTAACCTGTTGGGCCTCAGTTTTCTCACTTGTAAAATGACAGTAGTATTTTAACCTCAGAGTGTTTCTGTGAGGCTTAAAAGAGTTAAACGAGATACTACATGTAGAGAGCTAACAATAGTGCCTGAAACATAGAAAGTGTCAATAAAGGTTAGCAACTGTCATCGTCATGATCATGTTTTACATTTTTTAGCTACGTTCATATCCTTTGTTTATTTTAATCTTCCCATCAGTCCATGGGGGAGAGAGTCCAACAGTTGTTATCCGTGTTGGGCAGTTTTTTCTTGAAGCACGGAAGGGCTAAGGCCAGGGCAGCTGCCGTCTACTCCCTTGACCGCAGGGCCAGACCCTAGTGTTTCCAACAATAATCCTTTCCCTAGAACTTAACCTTGTGTTTCCCCCAGCCCTCTCTGTGGCTCATGTCTGGGGGAAGAGTCCCACAGGAGGAGGAGCAAAGACCTGACCCTCTAGTCTGGTTCCTTCCAGGCACGGCTCCATCAAGGCTGATGAGGCTGCCCCAGCTCCCTTCCACGTCGACCTCTGGTTCTACTTCACCCTGCAGAACTGGGTTCTGGACTTTGGCCGCCCCATTGCCATGGTGAGTGTGAAGCTGTGGACGGAGCCCTGACCAGGAGTGAGGAGACTTAGTGTGACCTGTATTAGCTAAGTGACCTTAGGCAAGTCACTTCCCTTGCCGGCAAACTGAGAGAATGGGCCTGGATGCTTTCAGCTCCTTTAGCTCTGTGAGTGTGGCCATTGAGGCAGCTGCCAGCATGCTGGGGAACCAAGGGACCTGAACAGTCCTACCACACCCCAACCCTCATGGGACACCTGGGTGCCCTGACCATCATAGGCCCACTATTAATCTAGTGAACCAGGTTTAACCAAATCACTGAGACAGGAGTAGAGGAAAGGAAGCAGAGCAGCCTCACTGTCCTTCCGCATGACCTGCGGATATTCTTTTTCTGAAGGTGAAGGGCAGCGGCTGGTTCTGCGTATTATATGTGACTCTGAGACTCGGATCATTCTTAGTGCCGTCTGGTGAAGACATCTCCTCGCCCCCAAGGCTGCCTGATATGTTGATATCCAGTAATGGCCTCCACAGAGGAGGTTAATACTGGAACAATACCAAAGCCCCTCCCTTGTCATGGATGGATGGATAGATAACAGAATGTGAAAAAAATTCAGTGAGGTATCACCATGTACAAAATTGCTGATCTGTGTGCGTGTGTGTGTGTGACAAAATTAACAATATCCAATGCTGAAATCGATGCCTTGTCCATGCCAGCGATAATGCAAACGCGCAAAGCCCTTTTGGAAAGCAGCTTTGCGAGACATTAGTGCCTAACATGAAAAGTGCTTGATACGTTTTTACTGAATGAATAAGAAGAGGAAAAAATGGCAGCTAACATATACTGAGCGCCTAATCTGTTCTGAACTCTTTACGTGTTCCAACAACGATTCTCACACCAAGCCTGTTATAGTCCCTGTTGTAGAGATGAGGAAACTTGAGGATAGAGAGGGTAGGTAACCACCCCAAGGTCTCACAGCTAGCAAATGGAGGAGCCAGGATCTGAATCCAGGTACTCTGGGTCCAGAACTCACCCGTTCCCAACATGGTTAAACTCTCTCGTGTGTGTTTCAAGAATCCTAATATGTTTATCCCTCCTGAGCCAGTAAGACAGATTTGGAGAATCTTCCCTGAGGAAGTGATCAGCTAGAAGAGGATCAGCTCTGCACCCAAAGATGTTCATTGCAGTGTTGCTTAAAATAGCCAGAACTTGGGAGAGACTTCAGTGTCTAGCAGTAGGGATGGGGGAAATCAATACTGCTGTTTCCAGTATAGGGAATGTTAACTTGGCCATTAAACAGGAATTATGGAGATATAGAGCAGCCTGGAAAATGTCTACAACTTAATGTTTAAGGAGAAAAACAGTTCCTAAGGGGCAGGTAGACTGACTGATGGCAAGGTGGTAACGATTTTGTATCCCCGGGACGGAAGACTTGAAAGGATAAAGAAATGCTGCCTGGCAGTGGTGTCAGGAGGAAGAGCGATGGTGGGTGCTGGTAGGTCCTTGCTGCAGACTTTGTGTGATGTTGTCATGTTGCTTTTTAAATGTAGGAAAAAGGAAAGGCACTGAGCCAGGAGTCAAGACACCTGGTCAAGTATGCAGGTGACCTTGGACAAGTCACTGTCCTCTGGGCTTCAGTTCTCTCATCTGTAAAAAGATTGCTCTGAGCCCCCTTCCAGCTTGAATAATAATAATAATAATACAACCTGTTGCTGTTGAGTTGATTCCAACTCATAGTGACCCTATAGGACAGAGTAGTACTGCTCCATGGGGTTTCCAAGGAATGGCTGGTAGATTCGAACTGCTGACCTTTTAGTTAGCAGCCAAACTCTTAACCAGTGCACCACCAGGTTCACGAATTTGTGGCCAAAGGAGCCGGCCATCAAACTGTGGTGTCTGGGGGGCGAGAAGATGGAGTCAGGAGTGGGCTCATAGCTTGTGGCTGTCTTCACTCACTAGGACTCAGTCTCAGCTGGCCTAATGGGGGTCTCCTGCTGGACAAATTACTTTCCCCCTCCTGCCCAGAGTTGCTGTGGCCATGTAACCCTAAGTGGGGCTCATTGAGAGCACCTCCCAGGCTTGCCCAGCCAGGAGAGGCTTCTGAGGACCAGAGCAAATTAACACCTGGCTCATGTGTACGCCAGAGCTTTTCAAATGTATGCATGATATCCCCAAATTTGTAACAACTAAAAAAAAAAAAAAACTTTTAGAAATTATAAAAGTAATATTGTTGTAACAAGTGAGTTCATACCCAAGTGTACAAAAAAAAGATGGGTTAAACCTTCCCTACCCCCTTTCCATTTCCACCCCTGACAGTTTGGGGCACATCCTTCCACTCCTTTCTCTGCTCATACTAACATATACATACAGAGGGGTTTTCTTCCCTTGCCTTTTTTTTTCTAACCAAAATGAGATTGTACTTTACATGTTAGTCTGCAACATGCTTGTCTTAGGAGATATTGTGCATATCTCTCCACGTCAGTACACATAAGGAATCCTTTCTCTCAATGACTTCTTCTGTAGTCAAGATGTACTATAATGTAACAACTAGTCCTGTTTGGATGAACAATCAGCCTATTTCTATTATTTTACTGTCACAAAATATTTCATTGATAGAGATAAAGATATAGAGATGCACACATAGAGTGAGAGAGAGAAAAAGAGATTGAGACTCCTATATCCTGGAGGTTTTATTTCTGCAGGTTAGCTTTATCCAGCGAGGCATTTCTAAGTTAAAAGAGATGCATGTTAAATTTTTGATTGAAACTCTTAGTCATTATACATATTCTCAGCCAACATATACTAGAAGCACGGTTTTGGGTTTTTGTGACATAGGGGGTCTTCGCATGGACCCTGACGAGGCCAAGACTTGATAGATGGAGGGCAGGAGAGAGGGCATTCCAGATGGGGGGAGCTGCCCCTGGCCTGCCTTTCTCTCTCAGGGAAGGTAGGAATTGAAGCTACTTTGTAGAATGTACTTTTTTCTACTTTGTTATACTTTCACCTGATCTAGAAGGGTCCATCACTCAGTAGATAGAGAATCTTTCCACACCTGGGGTGGGGCTCCTGGCCTGGGAGACAAGCCACTGACCTAGTGGTCAGGAGACCTTGTCATCAACATAAGATCTAGAGTACCAGAGCCCTAAAGGTCCAAGTGAACAACATGGTGGGCCACCCTAGTTGTGTTACATATGGGGAAACCGAGGCTCAGAGAGGTGAAGGACTTGCGCCAACTTACCCAGCAAGTTGGTGGCACAGCTGAACCCCAGAGCAGCCTCCTGACTCCCAGGCTGGTATCCAGGGACATTGATTTAGGACCCACTGGGAGAGACACAAAAGGTCAGGCAGCAAGTTTGCATCTACTGTGTGACTGGGGACAAGTTGATTTACCTTCTCTGGGACTCAGTTTCCCTGTCTGGTAATACCTTCTGTCTGGGGTTGCCATGAGGATCCGCAGAGATCACAGAAGGATGTGTGTGTGATTGTGGTGGGGGGGGTTTGGGGGGAAAGGTGGCTGACTTCCTGAGGGCCTTGTGGGCTGTGCCTGGGTGAACACCATTCCCTCCCCTCCTCCTCAGCTGGTGTTCCCTCTGGAATGGTTTCCGCTCAACAAGCCCAGTATGGGGGACTACTTCCACATGGCCTACAACATCATCACACCTTTTCTTCTGCTCAAGGTATGGTCTCAGGCCCCCGCCTCCTCAGGCAGCACCCTCCCCTCCTTCCTTCGTATGTCTGTCTGGGCTGGGAGCTGGGCGGAGCCCTGGGAGCTGGGCGGAGCCCTGGGCCGAGCAGAATCAGGCTTTTCCCCTGCCTGACAGGATGAAGGCTGTGATCAAGGAAGACTTCAAGTGCCTGTGGGTTCCAGGGGAAGCAGGGGCTGCCTCTGGGCAGGAGGGATGGAGGAGGCCTCCCCAGAAGGGACGTTTGATGTGGACCTCAGCCCTGTGTGCTGGGAGGTGAATGGAAGAGGTTCAGGGAGCAGGCTCTGAAGACAGGGGTGTGCTTAGGAAACCATAAGGCATTTGGGGAAGCCGAGGTGGAAGGAGTGATCGGGATGCCCAGGGAGAGGTCAGGGATGATTGGGAAGGCAGGTTGGGACCGGATGGCAGGGGGCCTTTTGGCCTGGGATCCCTGATGTCACTGGGACCAGGACTGCCAGCTTTGCCCTTTGCCAACTAAGAGCTCTTAAGACAACTGCCACCATCCACTATCCCCATCATTTTGTTTTTAAGAAAGAAACCTCAAATTTTCAAAAGTAGGAAGGTTATAATCTCAGAATTCAAAGGAGTATTTCCAGTTAAATGATTTAGCTACAGAAGCACCCCCATCCCCATGTTTGCTGTGGACCAATCACTCAGAAATCGGAGGGTCCCTTCAGCAGCTCGACCCAGCCACCCAGGGGTGTTGTGGCTGTAGATGCATCTGGGGCAGTGGGACGATGGGCCTGGGGCCTAGAAGCCTGTCACCTCCAGCTTCTTTGTGACCTTAGACAAGGAGCTGGTCCCTCTGTCTATTTCTGTCCTGGGAAAAGGGGGTGCTGGTCTCCCTGGTCCCTACCTGGTTCACAGGGATTACGTGAGAATCTGGAGGCTGGCATGGGGGATCACCAAAGGGACCCACCAACTTCCAAGTGACTTCCCATCCGGTGGCATCCATACCACCCCAGGTGTCGGGAGGGAAGCAGAAGGTGTCACATACTGTGATGGAGGAAGGGGTCGGGCTGTTGGGACTCACCTCACTCTGCACCCCAGCTCATCGAGCGGTCCCCACGGACCCTGCCACGCTCCATGATCTACGTCAGCATCATCACCTTCATCATGGGTGCCAGCATCCACCTGGTGGGTGACTCTGTGAACCACCGTCTGCTCTTCAGTGGCTACCAGCACCACCTGTCTGTACGTGAGAACCCCATCATCAAGAACCTCAAACCAGAGACTCTGGTGAGGCCGCCTCCCCCTCCCTGCAACGGAGCACCGTTGGCACAGTCTGTCCTGGGGGCGGGGGGGTGGGGGTGGGTAAAGAAATTGCTCTGCCCCTCATTCCGGTAGGTGAGGGCTCTGTTGCCCTGGCCAGGCGGGGATGCTCATGTACTATTAGAAATAACACGTCAGCTGGCTCCCACCTGGGCCCCATGGTAGAGGCCAGGCCCTGAGGGTAGGGAATGAGGGCAGGTGGGGGAGGCTGGAGAGTGGGGAGGGTGGCCAGAGGGGCTGCTTGGGGCCAGGCACCCTCCCTGAAGGGTGTCTGGCTCTAACCGGCTGTGTCCCCATCTCCTGCAGATCGACTCCTTTGAGCTGCTCTACTATTATGACGAGTACTTGGGCCACTCCATGTGGTGAGTGATGGGTCCAGTCAGGGCCTGGAGAGTGCACGCAGCCAGTCTGTCTATTCCCAGGGTCTGGACCCTGTCTTCATGTGTCAAGTGGAGCAGCTGCAATGGCGTTCTCTTCCCCTAAGAGGGCTCTGTGAGCGCGGCCACAGGCTGGCCTGGGCCCCGGCACCCTGCCTGCCTTCTCCTAGCCCGCAGTGCCCGCGACGGCCACAAGAGGGCAGTGAGCGGCTGTCGTCCCTGCCTTGCCAAGCCTGGAGGCTGAGGAGGCTGAGGGAGGAGGAGGAAACAGCCCTGATAAACAGCCCCGCAGATGGTTAATGCGGGCATGGGGATGAAGAAGGCGGTCCCTCACCCAGATCAGGCTTGTGGTCTGTGGCATGGAGGCAAGGAGGAAACAGGACCAGGTTGGGGGTATAAGGTGCTGTTTGTGCTCTCCTGCACCCCAGGGGCGCACACCTCCACCCCACCTCATCGCGCGGTCTGGAGGAAACCTCAGACATGTGGGCTCAGCCACAGGAGATTCAGCTGGGAGAGGTCATCTGATCCAAGCCTTCACTTCGCACAGGATAAACTGAGGCCAGAGGAGGGCTGGGAAGGGTCAACAGCTAGTGAGTGACAGAACTACCCTGAAACCTGGGCGGCCTCCCTCCTGAGTGAGGGGGCTCGGTCGCTTCACACACACTCTGCCCTTGTGTTTCCAGGGTCTGCTTCAGGCATGGAAAGTGGCTCCTCCTGGCTCAGCGCGTTGGGGGGTCTCTGGGCAGTGTCTACGGGCTCTCCCCTGGCCTTTGCCAGCAGACCCTTCCCTTGGAAGGGTGGGGAAGGGAGGAGCAGAGACCTGGAGAAACAGCTGGAGAGAACATGGGGTGTAAGGGGTGGTTGAGGGGGAGCGAGGAGGGTGGACACACAGATGGCCTAAGAGAAAGGGGTGTATGTGAGTGAGAGTCAGCACAGGTGTGCGGGCAGAGCCTGCGTATGGAGAGGACAGGGAGGCACCTTTGGGGTGAGATGTATGGCATGGGAGGGGTGAGGCTGTGGGCTGAGTGGGGTGGGGGTGTCTCAGAGCCCTTGGAGGCTGCCAACAGGTGCTGTTCTCTTTTCTTTTTTAACCTAGCCCTCGTCCTCTGTCTCCTCCCTCGACCTCCTCCCTCATCCTCTCTCCTCAGCCCTGCAGGGCACACCTGTTTCAGCCATTGTGGGGCTGGGGCTGCTTGTGTTTGGGGTATGTGTGTGAGACCAAGACACCCCACACACCCGCCCCCACATGGAGTGAGTGAAGTGCAGGGTCCCAGGGTCCCCACCCCATAGCCTCGGCCTCTGATTTGCATGTGCCCAGGGAGCCGGCCTAGTCGTCCTGGTTCCATTCCTGTCCCACCCTGGGTCTCCAACACAGGAAAGGCTGAGCAGGGGTGGGCACCCTCATCCAAGTCAGGTATTTTGTATGCCATGAAGTGATACCTACGGGAAGGTGCAGGGCACGGGCTGAGGATTGAGGAGGCCCGGGAGGAGGGTGGCTGGGGCGGCCAGGAGGCCCTAAGGCTCTGGCCTCCCTGTTGCAGGTATATCCCCTTCTTCCTCATCCTCTTCATGTACTTCAGCGGCTGCTTCACACCCACCAAAGCTGAGAGCTCGATGCCAGCGGCAGCCCTGCTCCTAGTGGTGCCCAGTGGCCTGTACTACTGGTGAGTGGACACTGGCCCCGGTCGGGGTTGGTGTGGGGGTTGCTCAGTGAGCCACGGCATTGAAACTCCGACCCGGCCACAGACTTGCCGAACCACCCCAGGTGAGGATCGCCCTCTCAGGCCCTGTTTCCTCCTCTGTCTAGCCAGGAATGTGACGGTACCTTGTGGCGCCTCTTTGTTACCAGGAAGCCAGGCCTGAGTGTGGCAGGGAGTTGGGAGGAAGCAGCGAGGTTGCACCACCTCTCTCTCTTTGTGCCCCTCCCGCCTCTTTGCCCCACCTCCCAGCACCTCAGTGCCACCTGGGGCCAGAAGAATCCACCTCTGACACCAAGCCCTGTAGAACCCCGTGGGCCTCAGTTTCCTCCTCTGTGAAATGGGGATGATGATACCTGCCTGGTTCCCCTCCAGCTCTCCCTTCGCCTTTCGGACAACCCAGGCTTCAGCCAGGGTCTTACCCTTCTTGTCACTGCTACCCAGGGGACAGGTTCCTGGGGACCGTGGGTGTCATAGGAAGGACCTGGGTCAGGACTGGGCTGAGAGGAGGTCTCCCTGAAAATGAAGAATCTCCTCCAGGGCCTGCCCCTCACTGGCTGAGAGGTCAGCTGAGACAGCGTTAAAAGAAATAGATACAGACCACAGCAGGCGGAAAAGAGGGTAGACACAGGGACCTTCCTCCCCGTGGTGTGTTGGTACAGTGGTAGCTACAGTCATAGAAGTAACCCTCTGCTGAGCGAGACGCTTGTCCAAGTGAGAGATGTATGTACATCGCTCATCGCGGTAACCCGCGGAGGTAGGACCAGTTATGGCACAGTGGTTAAAAGCTCAGCTGCTTACCAAAAGGTTGGCGGTTCGAATCCACCAGCCGCTCCTCGGAAAGCCCATGGGGCAGTTCTGCTCTGTCCTATAGGGTCGCCATGAATCCGAACCAATTCGATGGCAATGGGTTTGGTTTTTTTAATAGGTTATAAAACAAGGGCTCCAAGATGTCATGTAACTTCTCCAAGGTTGCACAGCCATTAATTTGCAGAGCTGTAGTTTCCTGAACAGGATGGGTCAGCACTGCAGTTCTCCCCAGAGGCAGGAGAGTGGACCAAGTGACCTCTCAGAATCCCTTCAAGTGTTACCGAGCTCCTGGCTATGTGCTAGGAGTAGCGTTGGGAGCTGCAGGGAACCCTGGGAGATCTGAGACTGTCTCAGCCTTCAGGGAGCTAGTTAATGACAGCTCTATAAATTGGAACATTCCCAAACTCAAATGCCAACAACAAGCTGGTAACAAATGCATCAAGCAGGCAGCACATGAGGCAACAGGGAAGGGTGGGGACCGTGGCAAACTGTTGGCCAGCGCTCTCTCTAAAAGGGGGGCGGCTTCCTCCTCTAGTCAGCTGTTGTCATGTGTGACCAGAGAGGCCAGACATCCACTTTTTCAGGTGATCTGCTGTTTAAATAGTGGCAACTGTTCAAGTAAACCAACATGCTGCATATGGGATGCTGTTAGAGCAGCATGGCTCCCTGGGCCTGGGCGGATAGCATGGTTCTTGGGCACAGGGAGGGGTGCGGGGCACGATGGGGGTGGCCTCGCCCCCCTCACCCCACCCACTGGCCTCTTCAGGTACCTGGTCACCGAGGGCCAGATCTTCATCCTCTTCACCTTCACCTTCTTCGCCATGCTGGCCCTCGTCCTGCGCCAGAAGCGCAAGCGCCTCTTCCTGGACAGCAACGGCCTCTTCCTCTTCCACTCCTTCGCCCTCACCCTCCTGCTTGTGGCGCTCTGGGTCGCCTGGCTGTGGAACGACCCCGTACTCAGGAAGAAGTATCCGGGCGTCATCTACGTCCCTGAGCCCTGGGCCTTCTACACCCTCCATGTCAGCAGCCGGCACTGAGTCCCTGGCACCAGCCGCTGGCACTCTGCTGGGCGGGCCATGGGCCGGGGAGGGCGTCTGAGCAGGTGTGTGTGTCCGCGAGTGTGCGTGAGTGTGTGAGCTACAGACAGAACGTGGGCAGGGCGAGTGCTGTGCACGTGGGTAGGCGTGTGTGCGTGCGTGTGCACGTGTGCACCACTGTGTGTGCCGAGTGTGTCGTAAGACTCCACTGTTTTGGCCAAGTTTCTGTGGGGTTCAGGTCTTTCGAGGTTAGTGTTAGGAAGAGCGTCCAGGCCAAGACCTGGGCCCCTTTCCTCCTTGTGCCCAACTGGACTTGGGGCCACTGACCTCGCTCCTCAGGGCTGTCTCCTGGTGGCTACACAGGAGAAGCCTGGGTGGGGAGGAAGCACGGAGGGGACTTGGCCTGTCCCTCACCACCTGTTCATCCCTCAGGCCCACCCCTGACCTGGAGGCGAGGTTGCATAGGTTCCATGAACTTCCTGTGTGCTGTTGAGCAGATCATTCCCTTCCCTGGGCCTCGTTTGCATCGGATAGTCCCATGGTCTCAACGTGGGGCAGGGAGCTGGGGTTGCGGATTCCTCTTGGGGCAGCCTTGGGACAGGTGGTTATATCCTTGAGGCCCCGCTGCCTGTCACTGCCCTCTCCCACCAGGGTGGTATGTGTGTGCCCCAAACCCTCACCCCACCTCAGGCCTCCCAGCGTGTTGAGCCACTCCCCACCCCAACCCTGCCCCCTAGAAGCCTGAGGCCCAGCTCACTCCTTAACTGCACAAGCCTGAGCTTGGGCCTGGGGATGCTAGTTCTCCCACCATCTCTCCCTACCCCTGTCAAAAACCTGTCGCCCTGCTCCTGCTCCAGAAGAATTGGGAGGCCCCCTTCATGTCAGCCGGCCACAGGTGTCTGAGCTGCATTGAGGGCCAAGTTCGCAAACACTGCACTGGGCCCTCTGGCCCATTATAGAGGTGGGGCAGGCGCCTTGAGGCTCTCCAGTCAGCCTTGTCTCAGACTGACTCACACGCCCAGCCCTGCTCCCAGAAGAGAAGTGTCCTCGTTCCCGGCAGTGGGTCCCGGGCTCCACGTGGCTGAGGCAACACAGCCTCATTTCCTGGCCAGCACTGACCCACATGTGCTTGTAGGTCTCGGGCCTGCCTCGCCTTACCAGGACCCAGCCTTCTTTCCTTGACTTCTCAGGTAGCCCTGCACCTCAGCCTCTCCTGTTATGTTAGGGCCCTCTGCGGCCTCCTTAGCTCCCGCTAGACCAGTCCTCGTTGCTGCCGCCACCGTCTGAGGGTGAGAGGTGCAAATAAAGGCTTGCGGAGCCTGGCTGGCGGCTGCTTCTCACTTTGGGTGTGATTTGGGAGGCAGGAGGGAGTTCCCTGGAGTGAGAGTAGGGAGACTGGGTAATTTCGGGCTCCCCCTGGCAGCAGCCCTAGACGGACCCCAAGGCCTGCCCAGCCTCCCGTCTGGCTGAGAGCAGGCGCTGCCAGGCCCACTGGCCTTCATACCACCTCATAGGCTCTGGGGGTGGGGGATAAGTGGGGCCTCCTCTTCCCTCCTTCCCATCTCTCTTCAGGGGAGTCTGGGGCCTGTGGGGGAAGGCAGGATAGGCGTCCCCAGGTGTGCCTCAGGATGTCCCGCTGAGCCTGCCAGCCGCATTCCAGAGGCTGAGGCCGAGAGGGTGCCCTTTGGGGGGGAAGGTAGGGCCGAGGGAAGGTAGGACTGCTTGTTGGCAGTTGATGCTCAGCTTTGGGCAGTTCCCTTGGGGCCTTGGCTCTTGGTATTCAAAACTGCTCAGCCTCACAGCAGTCACCGGGGTCTCACTCACTGGGGAGAGTGTCATCAGATGACATCGAGGGCAGCACTGAACGGGAGATGGCTGGGACCTTCATAAGCTGGGCCCAGGAAGAAGCCCCCGACAGAAAACTCATGTGATTGCTTCCCGACACCGAGGACCTGCTCCTCCAAACCCCTGCTGCCAGACAGTTCTCGGTGGACGGCCTTGATGACTGTCCTATGAGCAGGGGTGGGTCTGGTTAGGTGGGGCCTGGAGCTTCTACAACTTAGGGGCCTTGATAAGCAAACAGTAAGAAAAAAGAAGAAATTAGGCATGAAAGTGACTATTTAGAAGGGTAAAGAAATTACAGCAAATTGTAGAGCCTTGGACATTTGTCTCCCTCGTAACCTAGCTCTCTGGGAGTTTACTAGGAACGCTTCCCTGCAAGTACTTCTTGACGGCAGCCTGGCTCCACTCCACCTGGAAGCCTGTAGGCTGATGGTTCGCCAAGTGTGGTCCCTGGCTAAGCTGCATGGGGTGGCAGGAGAACTAGTTAGAAATGCAGGTTCCTGGGCCCCGCCCCAGAGCTGTTGAGTCGGAGGCTCCAGGGGTGGGGCTTCCTGGGGATTCTGACACCTGCTCAAGTCAGAGCCACCATAATGGGCCCTGGCTACTCAAAGTGGGCCCTGGACCAGCAGCATTGGGTTCACCCAGGAGCTTGTGAGGCATGCGGGATCTTGGCCCCACCCTGGACCTCCTGAGTCAGCATTTTAACCTCATCTCCGAGTCACTGTTCCCCATGCAGCACCATTCCACAACTCCCCTGGGCTCCCAGCCCTCCCGGGGTCCGGGGCAGGGTGAGGTGGGTCTTTGTAGCAGTTTCTTAGGGCTGTTGTAACAAAGAACCGCACATGTAGGGGCTTAAAACAAGTTAACTCTTCTGTAGTTCTGGAGGCTGGAAGTCCAACATGAGGGTGTTCCATGGCAGCACCCCCTCCGAAGGCTCTAGGGAGAATCCGTCCCTGCCTCTTCCTAGCTTCTGGTAGCTGCTGGCAGCCCTTGGCTTGTAGACATCTCCGTTTCTGCCCATGTCACCACAAGCTTTCTCCCCTGTGTGCCCCTCTCGGAAGGATACCAGTCATTGGGTTTGGGCTCCACCCTAATCCAGTCCAACCTCATCTTCACATGGTTACATCTGCAAACACCCTGTTTCCAAATTAGGTCACATTCACAGGTTCCAGCCGGGATCTGAGTTGGCAGGGGGACGCTATTCAACCCAGTACAGACCTGAGCTTCAGCTCCGTGAGTCCTCTGTTCTGGGGCACGCAGGCCTGGGAGAAGCAAAGTTCAAGGACCTCTGAGGGCCACCTCTGTGCCCTTCACCCAGCAAGTGCTCCCTGAACCTGCCAAGAGCTCAGACTGGGGGCTCGAGGGGTGGAGGAGCCTCGTGGGGAGACAAGCTTGGCCCGGAATTGAGCACAGGGTGGTGGAGAGGAAGGAGGACTGGCATATCAGAGGGCCTGTGCCTGGGCCTGCTGGGCCTGGGGCTCCAGGGGGTGGGGAGAGGGGCAGAGGCTACCAGCAGACACCAAGAACTCCTCATAAACCCTTTAGAAGATGCTGGGGCCCAGTAGGGGCAGGCACAGGACAGAGGAAGAGCTTCCTCCTGCCTAGAGCCCCTCCCGTGTCCAGATAGTGGGGGCAGGAGGGATAGGACCCAGAGGAAGTGTCTACCCCCAGCCAAGAGAGGCCAGGGTTCGAGAATAAAGGAAACAAACTAGAGTATTGGAGGTGTCTTCTGTGTGTGTCTTCCATTTGGTGTTGAGGTGCAGAGCACACAGCCTGATGGGTGCAGCCACCGCTCCACTGCTGGTGTTTTTGACCATATGTGCGACATTCCTTGGAGACACGTAAAAAGAAGAGGGAGTTTGCAAGGGTCTATCAGTTAGGATGCCTCTGGGGGCATGTAACCCCAAGCACAGGAGCCCTGGTGGTGCAGTGGTTAAACACTCGGCTGCTAGCTGAAAGGTTGGCAGTTTGAACCCACCAGCGGCTTCGCTGGAGAAAAGACCTGGTGATCTGCTCCCATGGAGATTGCAGCCTAGGAAACCCTATGGGGTCGTTCTGTCTGTCCCACAGAATCAGAATCGACTCGATGGTGCACACAACAACCCCAAGCACGTGCACTGACCTAAACCTCAAGGAAATGTCTCATCTCCCCCAGGGCCCTCCTTCCCTAACGCAGGGTGACCGCGTGAGTGTAGCCAGCAGAGCTGTAGCCTGCCCTGTTCAGGCTGCCCCACAAGCCTCAGCTCTGCCCAGTGCCCTTCCACGGCCCCGTCTGGCTTCTACCTTCTCCTGCCTTCTGCCTGGGGGCCAGCCTTTCCTCCTTTTCACACCCAGTGGGGAGGTGTCAGGATCTTCAAACTGAAATTCTCGGGTGGAGGAATGGGGAAGAGGTAAATCGAGACACAGTTTGAAGGACACAAGAGAACTTCCCACATGGAGGTGGTCAGGGAGGGAGGGAGAGAGAGAAGACCAAAGGCAGGCCCCTCCAGGTCCATGCTTCTTTGTACAAATTAGAAAGAGGTCTCACTTCCTCTGGCCTGAGGCAGCCCCTCGCCAGGACCCTCTCGCCCCTGGTCCAGGAGCCCTTAAGCAGGGCATAACCTGTGCGGCCAGACCTGGTGGCCTGGCAGAACTCCGGGTTTCAAGCCCCGCGGACAGGCCAGACAGCTGTGGGCAAGGGCCTGCAGCCCCACAACGGGGAACTGGGATCGCAGAGATGGCGTGTGAGACCCCACGAAGGGCCTGCCCAGCCCAGTCGCTCTGGGAAACACCCCCACCCTGCCCTTGTTTCCTTTATGGGGGGAGGGGAGCAGCACAAACCACTGAGGAAATTAGGGGTGTCAGCAGCTTCTGCCGGAAGGGGTGGAGCTGCGGGAGTGAGAGGGTGGGAAAGAAGAAAAGGAGGAGTCTTCCTGAAGGCTAGGGGAAAGCCACCTAAGAGGTGTCCCTCATGTCCCCTGAGGGGCTGGAGACCCCAGCCCAGGCACCCATCCTGACCCGAGGGAGGGAGGGGAACTGACTAGGGTTGAGAACTTGTGTGCTGGCCATTTGATTCTCTCAGCAGCCCTGTAATGTGGCACAGAGAGGAAACTGAGGCACAGACAGGAGAAATGACTCAACCAAGGTCACTCAGCACGTCAGGGTCAGAGGAAGGATTTGAACTCAGATCTGGCAGCCCCAAAGTCTCTGTCCTTTCTACAATCCCACATTCCACAGCTTTGGAGTCAGAGACATGTATCTCTGAGATCTGCCATCTTGGACAAATTTCACGCTTGTCTGCAAGACATGTCCTGAGCCTTAAATATGATACCGTGCGTCCCATGCCCGGCACAAGAGGAGCATATGCCCTCCCCTCCCAGCTGGGTCCCAGGAGAGAGAAGGTCCCCTTGAGGCAGGCACGGGGCAGGGCAGGACCGGCCCCACCCCAGGACCCCCTTTCTGTGTTTCACCGACCTCTTTGGGGTGCAGGGTGCCCAGGGCACTCAGTCCCTGAGGGCTGCCGTAACAACATACCAC